TTGCAGAACAATTTTATTTTCATTATTCTGTTAAAGCTTTCGACTTCTCAGCCGCATCCTTTTATATCTATTCAGCAATTGTTTTGTTTGTAAATTATGTGACGTAATTGATATTAACTTATTTACGGACAAACAAGTAAATATGTTTTAAAAAAATCTTTTTTTTTTAAACACGTTCGGCTGAGCTTATCCAGCATCGTCAGACGGCAAGTTTTGAAGAGAATCGAACAACAATTCAAAATGTCACGAGTTACGTTATCAGAACGATATTACGTCATTAATTAAACAGTAATATAATAGCAATCAACAACAGCTAAGTAAGGACAACAAAAATTAGAATAAATATTAACGTAGGCTTATAATATTTACTAATATTAGGTTTTCGTTTTTTGTTGAAGAAAGCTTATTGATCAACCTCGAGTTTTGAGACCCAAACTAAAATCTAAGAATCTTTAAGCCTTAGAATCTTTAAGAAATGACAAAAACGTAATTTTATTAAACTTAGATAAGGGAAATTCTATTATTGTTGTGGATCGTTCTAACTACCTCAGTAGTATGGACATTATGTTAAATGATTTGGTTCATTTTATTAAATTAAACACTAATTTACCTTTTACTTGAGAACATAAATTAATAAATTGCATATTATAGCTAAAAAAGTCTGGCCAATTTCCTAATTCATTGCATAATTCTTCACGACCTTTGATTCTCGTACTCCTTAAACTTATGGTCTACCGAAGATCTATTAAGCCAAATGCTCCGTTACTTCCCATTGTTATTGCTTATAAAGCTTACAATCACAATATTAAAAAAACTTTTAGCTTAGATATTTTCCCTATTAAGCCAAATGATCCGTTACTTCCCATTGTTATTGCTTATAAAGCTTACAATCACAATATTAAAAAACTTTTAGCTTAGATATTTTCCCCTTATCTCACGAAGGCTCCTTCTTTTCTAAAAACAAAATCAGAAGCTTTTGTTAAAAAAGTTAAAAAATTGGTTAGTTTTGATATATAATAAAACTTTTCACATATATATCGGTTGACAGGTGATTAACTGTGCAGTGAAATGGTAACGGGATGCCCCCAATCTCAGATCCTGTTTAGATGTTTCTGTCATCAAAAAGTTATTCAGTTTTAAGTAACTAGTAAAATTTTCAATTTCAAGGTATTAATTATTACCAAATTGAAGATCTAAGTATGGAAAATCCAGTTCAGCCTGTTTTACCCAATGTGTTAATCAAGGTAGAAGTAATTGCTGTTTCCACTTCACTACATCCTTCAGTTTTCTGGAATCGTTATATGTTATGGTATTTCTACGATTTTTAAAGATTCATAATGTATCAACAGTTTTCTTTCATATTTGAATTTAATCCGTCCCAACATTAAATTCACAGTTAAAATGAAATTGATGATAAGGTTTAATTTTAAATGTTTTATTAGAGAAAACGTAAGGATAAACACTAGGGAAGTTATCTTCAAGGAAATCCTTTCACAATCCTAAGTAAAAATAGGATTGTTAAAACTCTTTTTGCATACAAGTAACACTATTTGTTTCTCTCAATAGACTTTTCTCAAATGTGCTAAAATCTTAAGTTGTATCACAAACATAAGTATCCTTCCAAAGCGTTAAATAAAACCATCGTCCCTAGAAACTGAATTATCGGTCGAAGAGACGAATATAGAAAGTTAGCCCCTTTATTGTGTGTCATCATACATCTCTTATCTTTTACATGTTATTCAGAAAACGTGGACAAAATATTTTAAAGAGTGTGAAATGGAATTATTTGTAAATTTTCTTTCCTACCAGCGAAAAAATTAAATCGCCTTCCGTTGATATCAGTGTATCAAACTAAATAAAATACTTTGATAATTCTAACATCGAAGAAACTAACCGACAACTTTCAATAAGACTTAAAGCTCTTTCTCATGTATCTATACATATGACTAAACACAACCACTCCTTTCATATGTTGACATTATTAGCAAAGAAAAGAATACAAATCGCAAAAACATTAAGAATGTACTTTTTATCAACAAATAAAAACCTAATTTATGTTATTCTTACTTGGCTATTGTTGACTTCTATTACACTATTGTTTAATGACATAATATCTTTCTGTTAATTTAACATGTTGAACTTGTATGTTATTCTATTCAAAGCTAGTCACCTGATGATACTAGGTAGACCTAGCGAAATGCAATGTTTCAAAAACAGATGATCCTAATCATACTTACTTGTTTATCCCTGAATATATAAATAATTTAGTTTTCCTATAAATTATTTTTGTGTAATCTAATACTTACAGTATGGATTTTAAAAACAAAATACATATTTGTAAGCTACTCTATGAAATTCAAAATGTAAATTTACAGTAGATTGTTTTAAGAAATAAGAATAGCACACACCAATATGACTACCACATAATGCAGCACATTTATCAGCCGCAAACTCTGTCATTCCCAGTAACACATAAAAGGAATAACATGATTGATCACCAAAAAAATCACGCAAAGCAAATCAATGAGTTTCACGAAGTTAGCTAGTGATAACCCTAATTAATACATCGCCGATATTCCGTTTGAACAAAAAATTAGAAAAAAAGAAAAAGAAAGATTAACTCTTATCTGTCAGTTAAACATAATCAGATTTGAACATTACTGTAAATCATTGAATTTCACAAAGAAATGAGAATTTTATTGTCGACTTCTGTTTTGTTATTAACCTAGATATAACTTCTCCTTAAGTACGTCCTTCTCTAATTTGGGAAATAATTTCTTTATTTATTGCAAAAAAACATTTCATCGAAGAGATATTGGTATTAAAATGAAAAATGCAAAATTAAAACACGTTGTCGCAGGCTTATAACACCCGTTCATTAAAACACGTTGTCGCAGGCTTATAACACCCGTTCAATAAAACACGTTGTCGCAGGCTTATAACACCCGTTCATTAAAACACGTTGTCGCAGGCTTATAACACCCGTTCATTAAAACACGTTGTCGCAGGCTTATAACACCCGTTCATTAAAACACGTTGTCGCAGGCTTATAACACCCGTTCAATAATTACGTTTTTTCTATGCCCGAAAATAATTACAGGGTTAAGAATTTCAAGTATTTGTTCTCGCCCATTTTGTGAGACCAAATTTCTAACCCAAATCATTCAATTTATTTTTATCCCTCAGCGGTACAGTGAAATGTCTGTGGACTTACAATGCTAGAAACCGTGTCTCGATACCCTTGGTGTGCAGAGCACATATAGCTTAATTACAAACAAAGAATTTTTTAAAGATTTTTACACCTAACCTACTATACTGCAATGTAAAATGGAAAATGACTTAAACGAATTATTCAAACTACGTTTGAAATAGATTTTAAAAACATATATTTGATGTGAATTTGAGAATTGCAACTGTAATAAACGATTTATGCGATGTGTATGATACCCTTTGACTGGCACTGTATTCTTCGAAACTTGAGTCCGGTTGTGTATCTAAGTATTTCAAGATTATGGTACCACGAGAATGTTTTCACTTCACTATATCGACAAACACATACGGATTTTTCATGATAGATAAATGGCAATATATGTATTTTTCCATGCAATCATACCAACACTATTTCAACATTCATTTTTATTGAGACAACGTGTGCAGGTAGCACAATGCTTCCTTTCTTAGAGCGAAAATTGTCAAAACAGCATATTACATTTATCATCAAAACGATAGTATGTATTGATTTGTTATTGAAAAGTCACTCGTTCAATATGCGGGAGATAAAGTGTATTTATAAGTAACAACGTTTGTCTAGTTCATCTATCAATGCCTTATGTGAAATAACCTAAGGCTGTCAAAACAGCATATTACATTTATCATCAAAACGATAGTATGTATTGATTTGTTATTAAAAGTCACTCGTTCAATATGCGGGAGATAAAGTGTATTTATAAGTAACAACGTTTGTCTAGTTCATCTATCAATGCCTTATGTGAAATAACCTAAGGCTGAAATATTTATACAAAATTTTCCACATTCTTAATTGTACAAAAAATAAACAAAAAAGTAAGCATTTATCACGTGCACGTCTTTACAAGAAAGCGTTTTCTTTCAGCCTTATTTTTCATTCAACCCCCATTTAGTTCTGGGGTCAGCTACTCGGGTATTTTGTATTAGTTAAGAATTTTTACACTCAGGTGTCTGGCCCAGTCAGCAACCCTAAAGAGCGAAAACGATCGGTGACGGGCATTCGAACCCGCGACCCTCTGATTATGAGTAAAGCGCCCTAACCATCACGCCATGCCAGGCAAAATGTTTTTGCTTTTTTAATGTTCAGACATCTTTATATGCGTCCGCGTTTACACTTACTCTGTTGCAGGTAGATATTAAACATTCAAGATTCTCAGTTGCGGACAAATATTAGATATTCAAGGTGTTTAGTTATGGACAGATATTACACATTCAAGATTATCAGTTGCGGACAGATATTACACATACAAAGTATTCAGTTATGGACAGATATTAAACATATAAGGTGTTCAGTGGCGGACAGATATTACACATACAATGTGTTCAGTTGCGGAAAAATATTCAACATACAAGATGTTTATCATAGCTGCAAGAGCTTGTGAGCGAAGTTCCGCCTTATACTTCTTTAAGAACAAGTTAAAAAATTAGCTTGCACACAAAAAAGCGGTAGCAATCACGTTTTAATCACAGAACCAACTTTAAATGTAAATAAATACAGCCCGAAGATTATCTCTTGAGCTACATTCTTTGATGTGTGGCCTTCTGACGATAAAAAGTTCCCAGAAATAGATATAAATCATTTTATATTACTATATAACTTCATCGTCAAAGGTGTCCCTCATCCGAGTCACCCGACAAGTCAACTTGATTTAAAATGTGTTAGAATTGTTATGAATAATGGAAACCTTTTGAATAATTCAAAATGTCGTCTTTATTTCTATATAACGTCTGAGATTTTTCTTTCTTCTTTCTAGTTAAATAAACAGCTTGCCAACTCCTGGGAAATGAATAAGGTGAGTTTGAGATTCCGTGTTTTCTTTCATAATAGCATGTTCATGACCAATTAACTAGAAGCACCAATTTTTTAAAAGCACACTCCTTTAGAATCAATTATGTGTGAGATTAGGCCAGATGTTTTTCTTCCGAAATAAACAGTTTAAGACCCGGCAAGTGTGAAAAATTGTTCAATGTTTTTCTGTTGTTGTTGGGTTTGTTTGTTTTTCTAAATTTAACACCTTATGAAAAATTAACTTTGATAATTTGTAGAACATTTTCTTTCAGTCTACAAATGTATTTTTTTGAAGTTAAACACATTTAGAACCTACAAACAGAAAACTCATCAACCAGAATTTTCTTACAAACTTAAACATAACTGGAAATTGACATATGTGAATTCTATTTCAATCTAGTCTTACAAGCAAGTATATAGACATAAATGTTATTCATGAATAGGAATTATTTTAATCTTAAATTAATTGGTGTAATTTCAAAATTCCCTACATATCTTTCTGTTACATGTATATACTTATATGCATCTATGTATATTTATGTTCCAACATTTAATCAAAGAAATCAACATCTTAAGTTATCTCGGTTATAAATGTTGTTACGTATTATAATTTCAAATAGCCTGAAATTGAGTTAAATTGTAATTTAGATTTGGAAGTTAAATAAATGCCGATATGTATCCAATTTATGATATTTGCCAACAAGATTGATACACACGGTTTTCTTTTTATAATACAAATATATTTTAATATACAAATAATAATACAATTTACAATAACGGTTATTACAAATAGTTATTACAAACAATGATTTATATACAAAAGTTTTACTAGCTTACAACCAATATAAAGTCTTCTTTCTGGTCTGAAACTTCCTTGACGTCTTATCGAGAGTTCACAATGAGCGAGTTAATTTCGAGTTGACGTAGTTACAATTCACTTAATAGGGAGCTAGCTAGCTCTGTGTTCTCGCTGATCACACGCCGATTTTTTTTTTTTTTACCGATGACGTTTGGTAATGTTTTCGTAAAAGTACTAATGTACGATGTGAATTCGCTGAAGTTAAATGGTTTATAAATGTTCCTGGTCAAATATGTAAAGTGTCCCGATTAATAAGTGTGATAACAATTACAGTTATAGCTTCCGAAGTGTATAGTACACCAACTATTGCAAACTAATAATAAATACTGTTTTTATGCGTTTGTTATATTTATAGGTGTGTGGGGAGTTTCTAGAAATTTCAAATTACGCAACAATAAAAACGCTATACTAACGTTTACGTACACACGTATATTTTTGATTCTTACACTCGAGAATCTTCTACATCTTTGGAAAATAGGCAGGAATTTCGCAAAACAGATTTAACAGTATAAGTTATGTACATTTCTAAACATGAATTTAGTTTAAACAAACATCGATATTAAAATAAATATATAATAATAAATCCGTCACAATGTCCGCGTTCTTTAGTCACTTCGTAATTAACTCCAATGCTATCTTACTTTAAAATGGCTTTAGCCATCTGGTACTCAGCACTTAAGATTTTATACCGTAATGGATTGCAATAAAAAAGATAAAAAAGTTATATTAACCTCATCTTTGATGTAAGTTTTGTTCTTAATTCTCTGAGCATGTAAAATCATCTAGCAAATTGACAAAAAGTACGATCCACTACGGAAACACCCGCAAGTTCAAAATATTAACTTGGACTTAATTTAATTCATTCCTTACCAAGTGCTTCCCTTCACTCTGAGTAAACAAAATCATCTCCTGATCTTATCATTTAAAAGGCGCTAACTGCTTTAAGAAAAGCAGAATTAAATTTCAAAGAAAATACCTTAGGATTATATTCCGGTCTATTTGAAATTAGCATAAATGTACAGAATTGTTCAAAAATAAAATTTAAGTGACTACATTCACTATAGTCTCTAATTCTACTTATTTTTTAGTTTTTCTGAAGAAATGAAACTTAGTCCAGGGTAGATTTGAACTTGAGACTATTTTAACCATATAAGCATCTGGATCTATTAAATGCAATACATTTCCAAGTTAAATTCGCTTATTGTTATACCAGTCTCCTCTTAAAGTACACAATACTTCGATTACAACATTTGTTTTCTAACAGTCAAATTGAGTTTCAACCCTAAAAATGCCTGCCTAGTCTCCTTCATTGGAAACTAATAATACAAAATGTGTGTCACGCTTACATATTTTATAGTTCAATACAAATGCTTCATGGTCCTCTTCAGTATCACATTATGTCAAATTATCAAATGGAATTGATAACTTATCAAGTAGTCTTCTAGCGCATCACATCTTTGACAGTGTTCTAAGCGTAGTTAATCAACAGTATAGTTTGCAGCTGAAACATAGCTGGAATATTAGGTGTTTCTGATTCATAACCCCATAAAAACTACTCTAAAAGCATTTTAGATTTAATAATTTAACTTGACTATCACGTGCAACACGAGTCGTGCTGATATCATTAAAAAATCATCCAATAGTGACTTAAAATTCAAGCAGAGTTACTCCATAGCTTTTATTTACTGGAAAAATTAAATGTTAATCGTATGCAGTTAGTGTTTCCAATAAAACGTTCTTAAGACGAATCTGTTAAGTTTTAGATAAGGTGGTTTAGCCATCTATGTTTCTAATGAACAGTAGTCCGACTCGTAGTAAAATATAACGAATAAAAGACCATAATGACCAAAATCCATACATCTTTTTATCTTTATTATATACCCTGCTTTAGCGATTTTACGTACTTTTGTGTATTTTATTGTTGCAACACTGAAACAAATTTTAACGCTTCATAACACCTGCAGTTTAGAGAGGAGTACTCTATACTGACATTTCTCTTTTCTGTAGCACCTTCTGGTATTGACAGGAAAATAATCAGTAAGGAGCAGAAAATATACCATGGTATCGTGAAATAAGAACATTCTTAATTTTAGATTCATCACAAATAACTAATAAATTATGAAAATTGTCATTGCAAATTGCCATTCTCTACAGTTTTATGTACTTACCCACATTCTTTACTTAGGATTTTATTGGACTGAAGCTATATTAACATTAAAAACAACAAAGTAACATAATTTAAAACGTAACATAACATGTGTTACATACATCACAATAACAATGATGATAATTTAAATCACATTACTTTTTACTGGCCTAATACATGTTTCAACAATGATTTGTATCTTACTAGACAATAATTTATTCAATAAATCATATTCATTATTTTTAGAGAAAATAGATCTCTTTTACTTTGAGAGTCTAATGCCATTGTTTTCGCTGAATTACAAAAAACAGAGCAGTTTTATAGGTTGATTGAATGTTTGGAGACTATCAAGGTCTGGAAAACATAATATATATCATAACTCAGATTGACTTTTGAAAATAACCACAAATGTCAGAAAGGCTAAAAAGGTTAACATCTTTCTCAGATTTCTTAAAAATCTTAAACGTCCCAAAAATAACCTAAACCTTTTACCTTCGACATTTTACATAAGTGTAGTTACTGTGGGCTAATAACATGGGATCCAAGCACAAATAAATATGTAAATGACTTTTTAAATGCAAACATAGTTTCTAATGTGGAACATTATTGTACGGAATAATATGATTAATTCCGTTTATTGTCTTTAAGATTAGAATAATTTAGAATTAGGCATAGCTGTAACGACTTTAGAAAGTATTTTGTATAATTCGCATTAACCCTTGTGATGTTTTTGGACTGCTCAAGATCTACCCTCTACAGATATGTATCTGGTTGAAATAAGAAACTGAGGACATCAAGATATGTAGGCCTTGCTTTTAGAAAGAACTAATTACTTTCACTATAATACATCTATATTTATCAATCTCATGTTTTGTAGCGAACAAAAACCTCGAAAAAAACCAGCAGTATGTCTGAGGATTTACGTCGCTAAAAACCGGGTTTCAATACCCTTGCTGTGTAGCTTTGTGCTTGACTTCAAACAATCCTTTTAGAAATAAAAAAACATTAATTTTTACTTTTTTACAGTTTCCTCATTTTACATACAAATAATAGATATTTTCATTAATACTGTGTCATGATAATAATGTAAAAATGTTGATACTAAAGGGAATAATGTAATTTTTAAAAATTTCTTTATCAAGTTATTGCTTACTTAGTGCCCTGTAAGAGAACACTTCTGAATGAATAATTATTAAATTAAATAAATTATTTTGTAAATACTGATCTTCATATGCATAGGTTTCAAAGTAAAAACAAATTAACAAGCTGGTTTCTTTCAAATATATTTATGGACTCTTAAATGTTTCAAAATTATTTCCTTTAATTTTCTGTTTTATGTAATGGTGAAAAAAATGCTTTGATTGAGTTTATATGGTTTTCCCTGATTACAAGGAACCTGCTTCCCAATGTGAAAGTTGGCCGATAGATGGCACGCTATCCGCGAACAATTGTTGAATAACCAAGTATTGTGAAAAAACACTTCATTTCAACTTATTAAACATAACAGTTTATGAACAGTACTCAGTAGTATTAAATGTTTAAGTAACTGTAAATTTAATGAAGTGAGCCATCATATGCCTTTTTTTTCATTTTGTTTTTGTAAATGTAAGGATGTGTAACTTCTAAGTTGTTTTGTATAAATCAACCAACCTGTTGGACTATTGGTAAAAACTACATAAATTTAAAGAGTGAAAGGGTGAAATCTCAAAGTATGCCTAATATGTAACTGGAATATTTTCAACTACCAATGCAATTCTTGCAGAGTTCTTAAAGCTGTTTACGCTTGAAAAAGTTCTAGAAAGGTACGAAAAGCACTTTGTGTTTGTTTTAAAGTTGTAAGGTAGATGTTTCGAGTATGTTTAAAGCTATTTTCTAACAATCTGATTTACCTTAAGACATGTTATAAAACATAACGCGTGCTTTCTTTTCGCTTAGCTCTAATGTCAATCTACGATATCAAAGTCCACTTATGTACCACAGGAATCGAATTAGAGATGTT